ATTCGGTTCATATAAAAAATATTCCATCAGAAGACTAAGAACAAGAATGTGATCTCTTTTGTACTCTTCATTCCTACTTCAAATTAGAAGTAATCCATTAGAAGTAAGATCAAGAAGTCTTGCATAAAAAGAATTAGTACAATAGTACAATATCAATCCCGCTATGGTAAAAAGTGCATTGTACGACCAAACAAATTTGTCTCCCACGATCTTATGCTACCTTTATGGCAACTGGCAAGTGAAAGTGATGTTTTATACTATCTAACGATCTACTTTGTCGGTCTATATGAAGGTAACTATTTCATTAAAGAAGGTGAAAAAAATTGGAAAGATAAGAAATACCCTTCAAACGACTACGACTACATTGACAATGAAAGTTGCATCGACCTTCAAACCGGAGAAAATTTCCTCTCTAACATTGATCATAAGTCTCTAGCTTCTTCCAATGAAAAGAAGATGAAAAGTTTCATTAGAAATAGGGAGAACAAGAGAGAGTTTCCTCCTCTTATCCTTGCCTAGCTCAAACTCAAATCCTTGCTTCTCACATGACATATGTGTTGAAAAGATATTACACCGACAAGGGAAGGTTGATTATCAAGGAAGAGAAAGTGAAACATCATGAGTATTTTCATGCGCATAGAGAGAATGGTAGACTCACCTTGTAGCTTGTTCCACTTTGTCATAATGATGATGACAACGACTATTTCATGAACACAGATGAGCAAGACGGAGAAGTAGAAGAAGAAGAAGAGGAGGAGATTAACAATGTTACTATGGATGATGATTTTGAAGAATAAAAAATTGACAGCACTCAGAAAAATGTTGTTGTTGGTGATTATGAGGTTGTTGTGTAAAATGAGAATGAGATAGTAAGGGGTGCAAATAGTAAAGGAAATTATTTTAACTGTAACAAGAACCGTTCATTTGCAAGAATAGTCCTTCAGGTATATTTGGGGTACTTCCTTTGCAACCTATAAGAATAGTTCGTGGTTGATTAGTGAATTGAGTTAAGTTTTTTTACTTGTTAGTTGCATATAATTTGTTAAGCTTGTAGACTCTTTAATTGCTAAGGATTGCAGTTCTTGTTCTTCGCAATATTGTTGTGTTTCTTTTACAGTTTTTATATTATCTTGGTAATATTGAGTTTGAATGTTTTTCTTTTGCACTTTTATTGTTATCTTCGTAACATTGAGTTTGAATGTTTTGAATATTAAGTATGGTTTTATATCCAATAATTGCAATGCTTCAACTATGGTTTTGAATTCCAAATTTAGATTTCTATTAAGTTGGAAATTTTTACTCTGCAACAAAATACAAGAGAATGATATTGAATTTATGGGTGCAATATCATTGTTGAGATCTTAGTTGTGAGTGATATTGTGATTGTGGTGATTGCTGTGTCACTACATAATTTACTCTCTCTCAACATAACCTCTATTTTTTATGTATAAATGTCACTATTTACTAGTAACATGCAATTTAAAAATGTAATATTTTTCACTTAGTTTTATTATGCCGAAGGTTTATGTTAATGGTGGTTCGGTAAGAACATATTTTGGACGTGCAATTGCAGTGTGCCTATTTTTAGGGGCAGTAATAACTTTTTGTTCTGTTTAAAAAATTCATATAGTTAAAGAATATGACATTTAAATGTTCAACGCCTTATAGTTTCCCAAAATTATAAGCTTCTTAAACTTCAACACAATCCATTTTCTTGGAATTGGATCCTCTCTTGCTTTTTCTCATGCTATCTTTCATGTATGAGTTTGAGCCATTGAATTTTAATCCAATGGTTGATTAATTAAATGGGAAATTAGGGCGAGAAGAGAGAAATGCTTTCACTTTCTTTATGATTTCTTCATGATGGCGGGTATAACTTCAATATAAAAAATTAGGCTTAATTTATTTTTTAGTCCCGTAACTTAATTTATTGTTTCAATTTAGTCCTATAATTCTAAAATGTTACACTATGGTCCTTTAATCAAACTCCATTAGACTAATAAATCCTTTCTGTCAATTTTTAGTGGAAAAACGTTAACAGGCGCCTATGTGGAAAATTTATGAACTGATGTGGCATAATCATGTTAATGTTTTGTTTCATTTTTTATTATATGTACATACTGATGTGTCATATTTAGAAACATCAGAACTCTTCCATTTCATTTTCACGGTTTCGTTGTCTAAAAAATCTAGCAGCCGCGAAGAAAAGCTCGTGCTTGAAGACAACGATTGTTGGAACATAATAGAAGGCACTACAACAAATAATACATTTCATGATGAAGCTTTCATGTCCAAAAATCTAAAACCGAGAGGATATGATATGTGAGTGCTTTATTAATAAGATAAATAACATGTTACGCCGGTGTTATTAAAAACTGAGGTAACTCAACTATAAGTTTGTGCCTTTTATAATCTTTAAAATAATAATAAACATGTTATATCAGTTTTATTTTAGAACCGAGGCAATAAGGAACCTCACTTTGAATCCTCATTGTCGCATTTCATACTTTTTTCAATGATTGATCGCAAGAATAAGCAATAATAGTAAAAGGAAATATTTCATTGGTAATAAATAAAAAAAGCAACACAAAAAAAAATTACTCAACAAATTCAAACTTCTTAGTCCACTCAACTTCAACATCATCCCTAACTATCCCTAATCTAGGGGTTTACTAATAAAATTACACTATAAAAAAAAAGATTTTACCCTAATCCTTACTTAGTTGTAGTCGCACCAAACTCTAAATTGCATCATTCTTTGGGATGAATTGTAAGATAGAAAAAACATTCAATGTTCTTATAGAACAAAACGTTTTTCCTGCTCTTGAAATCTATCTCACATAATGGTATTGATGTTGTTGTTGGTGTTGATGTTGTTGTTGGTGTTTATGTTGTTTTTGGTGTTGTTGTTGTATTTTCGCTCCTTTGATAGATTTCAAGTGCAGAAAACTCATTCTTCTTTCATGGAGACAATGAAGAAAGTTAAGCTCCCTTCTCTTTTCAAAATTTACACAAAAAAGGGAATTTAACTAATCAGATGATGAATATCAGTGAAGATATTCATTCAAAGGAGCAAAGATTTTTTTTTAAACTAGTTATTTTAATATTTTGTGTAAACAATTTAAGTTAAAAAATACATTTCACCTCAGTTTTTTTAAAATATCGAGGTGATTGATAAAATCAGAAGATAAAATACCTCGATTTTAAGGTAAATCTGAGGGGTAAAGTAATCAACTTTTACTATAAATATCTTAGTTTATTAGATTTTATCCTAATTCTAACTTATATGTAGCCGCAACAGATACAAGAAATATTACATATTGTCCATTGTCGTGAAATTTTTTGATCTAAAAAAGTTTAAGAACTGATCTCTGAGATGGATTACAAGTGCATAAATTAAAATAACTTATCTAAAGATGGATAAGTTATGGAGTGTTTTTTGAATATCAAACATAAAAGTATGAAACAAAACTTGGATTCCACCAAAGATCTGTTGTTGAAAACACTTTCTCCTATGATTTTGTCTACTTGCCGATAGATTTAAGGTACACTACCAAATTCCTTCTCTAGAACATTCAGTGTTCATACGTTAAAAATAATGATGATTGTTGGTGTTGTGTGGTTTACTAGTAATTTGCAGAATTGGGATGAATAAATGCTATGATTTTGTTAAATTCAGTAAGCCTAAAGCAGTTGTGGAAATGTTTTGTAATATTGTTTTTCTGATATTCTTTGTAAAGAATGTAACTAAGAATAAATAAATTATTTCCACCTCATTTTTTCTCAAAACCGAGGGGATATGTTAGCGTTAAAGTTGATGATATCTGTATCGCCCTTAATTAAATCCTTGTCATTTTTATTTTCATGACTATCAACACTCAAGATACTATCATTAGTGATCCACATGAAACCTAGCTTAACTTCCATTATAAAAGCATTTTAAATATAAAAAATATCATGAAGCGCTTGATACTATCCTCCACTTTAAGATATGCAAGAGTCTTTGTTATGAAGTGTTCTGTATTATGGATTGAAAGAGCAGAAAATTATTTGTGTTTAAGGTTTGTGTACTTAAATATTTATTTATCTAACCCTTTTTTTCATCTAACCCTTTTTTCATATAACCCTTTATTTATCTAACCCTTTTTTTTGTTAATATCAGAAACAAATGCTAGGAAAAACAATTGAGAATATGTTGTTTCCCAGCATTTGATCTTCCCAGGATATCAAGGATTTAAAGATCCAACGTATGATATTCATGGACAACTTAAATCTGTACTGATATTTTCTGTAAACAATGTAACCAGTTTAATATTTTTGGCAAACATTGTATTTGTAAATAAATTATTTTATTAATTTTCTGTGTAAACAATGTAACCAGTTTAAATTAAAAAATACTAATAATTTACCCTTTGGTTTTATTGATAAATCGAGATACATGAGGTGCTATTATTGTAAGTAATAAAAATGCAGACGGTGTGGATAAAACCCATGCTCTATTAAAATACCCCTCGTTTCTGTAAACACCGAGGTGATAAGTCTTTACTTTTCATGACAACCTTATTTACCTTGCTTCAGATGTTGAGGTAAAACGCATTTCGTGTCCGTTGTTAGTTGAGGTTAGATGCATTATTTTTAATAGTGAGGTGATTGTTATCAATGTTACCATTGTCTAATTTCTAGGCAAAGGTACATGTATGAACTTAACATTGTCTCATTTTCATAGTTATCACCTTAACATTGACTTCTACACCGAAGTTCCATCGTCTTCTTCTCCGAAGTCACATTTCTTTCTTATTTGTTATGATTAGGTCATGAGTGATATGTTTAAGTGTGTTGTACATCATGTTGGTGTGTTTGGTGAGTTTACCATACTAGGTTACAAGGGTTAAGAGGAGATTTGGGATTTTGACCCTGATTATTGGAGTTATTTTGAGATTATAGGTGGGTTAAAAGACTTAGAGTACCCAAAATTAGATAGCTTATGGTATTATGATGCAATGGATGATAATGAGTTAGTGATGTTGCAAGATGATGCAGGAATAAATAGAATGAAAATGATTGCACTAATTAATAGAAATGTGCATCTATATGTAATGCATCCAGTGTTGGGGAAAGAGAAAATACTGCCTATTAAAAACAATGTAGGTACCATTGGTGTAGAAGACGACAAGTTGGAAGATGACATGTTGGATGAATTGAACAAATTCTATTGTAATAGGAAATTTTAATGACTTAGGCACTATTGAATATTTTAATAATCTAGGTAATAAAATTGATGAAGGAGGGCCCGCTGGTGTAGAAGATTCAGATGCAGTTAACCAAAAAGGTTCACTTGAGGAAGTTAATATCGATGGGACCATTGAGAACATTAACCAAAAAGATTCATGTCTAAATGTTAACTTTGAGGGGGACGCCGTGTCTGAGGATGCAATAGTGAATATTACTTTAGATGGGACCACTGAACATGTTGTATGTGACCAAGATGATATATTGGATGACACACATTACTTGGTAAGTGTTCAAACTGATTCAGTTGCTGAGGGACTTATTTATAACCAAGAAGATGGTGAGGCACTAGAGTGTAACAAGTAAAATGAGGGGATGGATTGTAACCAAAAAGCTTGTGGGAATAGTGAAGATGATAGTGTTTTGAAAGAGAACTTTTAGGATTCTAATGATTCAATTGGAATTGTTGAAGAAATTACAATTGATATAGCTAGGGGGAAAGAAAAGGGGAGGGGAAAGGGTAATTTAAAAGGTAAGGGAAATGGTAAAGGTAAGGGGAAATCCAAGTTTGGGAGACCAAGGAAACAAAAGTTAATGGAAGAAGAAGTTGTGGGTAGTGGTGTATTTGATGATGTGAATGAATGTGAGGCTACAAAAGAAAGCTTTAGAGGTTTGAGTGATATTGAGGAGTATGACACTGATGATTTACAACATGATTATGATAGTGAAGACAGTGAGGTTTTAAAAGATGATTTTCCAACTTTCAAGCTTACAAAATGAATGTATGATTACAAGTTGGAATTAGGGAATCATTTTGCTTCTAGTGAAGACTTTAAAAAGGGAATTAGAACTTATGCTATTCATTCAGGTAGAAACCTCCATTTTAAGAAAAATGATTAAAAAAAGGATGAGATTCATATGTAAGACAGGTTTTCCATGGGATTTGTTGTACCCAAAAATTTTCCCTCCCATATTTCTCAATACATTTCAAGTGAGGTCCTCAAATTGCTTAAGGTAGTCCAAAGGTTGACCAGACAAACCCTCTCCTAAGGCAGTCTACCTCAAATTAGGGTTTCAGTTTGCATCAATATGCTTGAGTCCAAAGGATCTCAAATGATCACCATTGTTCTAATATGTTCTCAACATCATCCATGTCAAGTTTCAAGCCTTGCAGAGAAAGTTTGCTCAGTCAATTGCTCAAAAGCCTGAAAATCGATTGTGTCAGAGCAAAAGTCAACTATGGCCCACATACAGTCAAGCTTCAAGATTTTTGGTCAACATTATTATTTTGAAGTATTATTCATCATTTGATCAAGGGTTTATCATGATTCCTCAAGGATTTCTTACAATTCATCAAAACCCAAAAGTTGTTAAATTAGGGTTTTATAGGAAAAGTCAACTCAACTTTGACCAAGCATAACTTTCTCATACTTTATCAGAAATGACCCATCCAAAGCTAATTTTGAAGGGGATGAAATTCCCTAAAATCAATTTTCATCTCCCAAGTTCAAAAAATGCACTCATAAGAAGATATAAATTTGGACATTATAGGTCATTTTGAAAAGTCAACAAAAACACCTTTTTTGTCAAAGCTTCATACATGAACATGGAAGACTCAATTGAGATGAGACCAAAATTTTTGCTTAGAGGACATCTTTAGTTTTCTAAAAAGTCTAAGAACACATCTCTAAGGTCAAAATTGAGGAAGTTATGCATTGGTGAAGTTGACCTTTTTTGCAAAATTTCCAAAAGTCAAATATGTCTCAAATTGCAATTTTTGCCAAATGGGCCCAATTTTTTTGCTTGCATTGAGTTGACAACATGATCCACGACCCATGATCCATCCCACTTGCCTTTATTTTATTTTTTCCATTTATTTTGATGTTTACTTCAATTAAATCAAATTAAATCAAAATTAAATCATCAAAATATCAAAATCATTTAAACCTTGAGATTTTGTGCATATTTCAGGTCCATGAATAGCTGGAAATGAGATCAAATCGTGCAAGGCTTGTTTGTACACAAAAATATTAGATTTTGGCTTGATTTGGAAAGATTTATATGAGAATCACATCTTGATCAATGATCATTATTGGAGAAGATTTGATACAAATTTGTAAACCTAATTCACTCAAGGCTACATATAGAACAAATCCATACCAAATGCACAAGGGTGAGAGGCGTGAGAAGCTGAAGAAAAACTTGCAAAAACTCAAGAAAAGTGGCAATCGGATTTCATAGTTCTAGGCATTTCAAGTCATTCCAAGCATAGCATTCACTTGCTGGGCATTCAAGGAGTCTATCCCAATCATCAACAAGCATTTTTGTTCCCAAAAATGCATTGAAAGCATCTCACGATATCCTTACTTTCTTGAAAGTCAATATCATTATTCTGGCATTTATAGCATGAATTATTTACATATTCTTGTTTAGTGAAACATTTGCAAGCTGATGATAATATTCAATTGCGTTTTTGTTAGCCATACAGAGATCTGCCATGATTAGGGTTTAGGGTTCGTTTTTAGGGGTTTTGATTGCAGGTACAATTGGCCATGAAGAGTGGTACCATGATGCTCGTGAGGTTTCCACGAGTTGATTGGTACCACTAGAATTGATTTATCATGCCTATATGGAATTTTGGAGAAACACATGGTTGTACCTATGCCCATGATTCTGTAGGTAAAAGCTCAGAACTTTAAACGACGGTTCCAGGGAAGAAGATGATAGCGTGTTATAGCCAGACTGGCTGATTCAAATTTTGGCGCGTTATTCTGGCTAGAAACGTGTAGATCTGATATATTATTTGTTTCTATTATATTAATGAACTAACATCCAGTGCAGTTGGTCAGAAGAAGGAAATCAAAAGTTCAGTGTTCTGGGTTCGACCCCAGGCAGGAGCTTTTGGTATATTCTCCTTTGTTTTCGCCAGAGCCAACATGTACATCTTCTGAAGATCACCACCTTCTGGATCCACTGGCCAGTAGCAGCTCCAGTGCATCATCTTTCTAACCTATTAGACAGGATCAGATCCCGTGCATCATCTTCTGGATCCCAGTCAGAACCAGATCCAACACGTGTAGGCCATCATCTTCTGGATCTCAGTCAGAACCAGATCTAGCACGTGCAGACCATCATCTTATGGATCCCATTTAGAACTAGATCCAACATGTCCCCATCTTCTGAGGGCCACCATCTTCTGGACCATCATCCTCTGGTCAGCGTCACTGACAGGAGACCCTTGGGTTATTTCTTTTTACCTCTTCTAATTTCTTTTTTTAATTATTCTTTTCTTTAACAATATTAAAATTATTTTTTTCTAAAATTGAACAATCAAAATTAAATTCCTTTTTTTTACAAAATCATAAAATCAATTTCACCAATTTAGATTTAGGTTTTACTTTTATTTTTATCAAAATTTAATTTAATTAGTTTAATTTAATTCTAGAGTAATTATAACTTTTTTTGTAAATAAATTAAAATCAATAGAAAATTAGGATTTGTTTTGATTTAATTTTTATTTTATTTTCTTAAATAATAAAAATGAAAAAATAGGTCAAATTAACTATTTTTCTTAATTTAAATTAATTAGTAATTAGGTTTTTTAACTAAAATCTTATTTTTCTCAAGAATAATCAAAAACAACAAAAAAAAATGACATTTCTTTCAATTAGGACTAAACGGGGTCAAAACCCTAATTTTTCTCGTTCTAAATTTATCGCGCGTTTATTATTATTTTTTTTGCAAATATTAATGTAACTTCTCATGGGATGTAATAGTTCAATTAGGAATTTTCGCTTATTTATCGTTTTGCGGGTTTTTGGCTATATAATTAATCCCCCTCCCCGAAGCCTTGTAATAGCGTAGTTTTATTTTCCGCATTTTAATTTTCGCAAATATTAACTGTTAGATGTATGATAATAGGATTGCATGATAAAAATGTATGTTAATTTTAAAATGGTTAACAAACCCTAAATGTGCAAAGATAATAACTGAAATCAAATCACTCGCACATGCGTACTCCTAGGGTATACTCTCACTTCGGTTGCCTTCAGTAAACGATCATTAAGTATAGGGTGTTTTAGTGGTCACCCTCCTGTCTAAACAAAGATCAAATGTCCCGCTCGGAAAGGTTGCCTCGGAATGTTGCCTCGAATATGATCTTAAGATATTAGGGTTATTACTAAGACGTCCTAACGTTGCTTTAGTGATTATACGTCCCTTTCGAATTGACCCTTACAACTCCAACGATGGTGCTACCTACTCACTAATAGTGGGATAGTGCTGTCTAAAGGAAACGAGAATAGAAACAATCCTTTTTCGAGCAGGTAGATGCTAGTAGGTACTTGCTCATAATAAACTTTTCACACCATACACTTTTCAAACAAAGTTTTCAAGAACACTTCGTAACACTCTTGAGGACTGATACAAGGGTTAAAACGAAGTGAAACAAAAACTTTTCAAAACACACAAACACGGAAGCAATTTCAAAATGATGAGCAAGTACCTAAGAGCCCATGGAAAACCACGGATAAAAAGGGTGCTAATACCTTCCCTTTATATAATTTACCCCCCGTACTCAAAATCTCGAAAAAGGAATTTTTTTGTGCTTTTTTCCTTTCCAGTTGGATAAAATAAAAGTCAGTGGTGACTCTTGCTTACCGCGACATTTTGCGAACAAAAAATGCAAAAACACAAACCAGCATTTTCCAAAACAGTCGGTTCTGCCACCGTACCACAGAACCGACGACTCTGCTGGGGAATAAATAAGTAGGGTATACCTTAGGATTAGTTCATCATATTTGCTTCTCTTATTTGATTTGATTGCTTTACTTTTGAGGGTTTTGTATAGGGAGTTACTATAGATCCTAACCCGGATCTGGGGACACCTTGTAGGTAAGTAGCAATAGATTGTGAGGGAATTGTACGGCGTAGACCAATACGGTTGAAGTAATAGCTATGTTGATGTGGCACATTGGTTGGTAGCGGTATCCCTTGTGGAGAAACGAGGAGAATACGGGTCCGCTGTGTGGTGTCTTTAAGCATCAACTGACCTTAGAACCTATAATTGACCAACTTGGCCATTAGAAAGTAGTGAGATAGTCGACCTCGGTATAAAGCTGAGAACTGGTTGATACTCGATGCTACACTCATTGAGACCATACTCTCGAGATAGTTCCGGCTGAAAGAAAAGATTGCGTGAGCTGAAACCATGACCGATGGAGGATGGTCAGTGAATTGAGAACCTCTAGAACCCGGTTACTATTATTAGGACAGGTTGAACCAACTGAACTTCAAGAGGGTAGTACCTAGACCCCATGCAAGCCTGAAACTTAAGGGCTCTTATGTGACTTGTTTTCCTTTACCATGTCTGTTATCTGCTATACCTGTTGTGTGCTTTATCATGACATCATGCATCATAACATAGCATGCATACTTCATTACACTAACCATTTCAAAGATCTAGGGGATTTATCTTTGTTCTGTTTTGCAGATTATGGCTTCTATGCGCAGAAACACCATCTGAGTTAACTTTGTGCAAATACCTGCTCAACTCAAAGATTTAGCCTCGAGAGTTTCTGATACTTCTTCATTCATTAGGAGACATGGTCAGCTTCTTATCCTGGTTACCTAAAAGCTTGATGAGCAGATGATGAGTGTGTTTTTCCAGTTCTTCGATCCTATGCATCATTGCTTTACCTTTCCGGATTATCAGCTGGTTCCTACTTTGGAAGAGTTTTCTCACTTATTGGGCATATCCATCCTTGAGTAGATGCCCTTCA